AGTATCATGTATTGGGGAAAGTCTGGACATAGTTAGTGGTTAGAGTATCATGTATTGGGGAAAGTCTGGACATAGTTAGTGGTTAGAGTATCATGTATTGGGGAAAGTCTGGACATAGTTAGTGGTTAGAGTATCATGTATTGGGAAAGTCTGGACATAGTTAGTGGTTAGAGTATCATGTATTGGGGAAGTCTGGACATAGTTAGTGGTTAGAGTATCATGTATTGGGGAAGTCTGGACATAGTTAGTGGTTAGAGTATCATGTATTGGGAAAGTCTGGACATAGTTAGTGGTTAGAGTATCATGTATTGGGGAAAGTCTGGACATAGTTAGTGGTTAGAGTATCATGTATTGGGGGAAAGTCTGGACATAGTTAGTGGTTAGAGTATCATGTATTGGGGAAAGTCTGGACATAGTTAGTGGTTAGAGTATCATGTATTGGGAAAGTCTGGACATAGTTAGTGGTTAGAGTATCATGTATTGGGGAAAGTCTGGACATAGTTAGTGGTTAGAGTATCATGTATTGGGGAAAGTCTGGACATAGTTAGTGGTTAGAGTATCATGTATTGGGAAAAGTCTGGACATAGTTAGTGGTTAGAGTATCATGTATTGGGGAAAGTCTGGACATAGTTAGTGGTTAGAGTATCATGTATTGGGGAAAGTCTGGACATAGTTAGTGGTTAGAGTATCATGTATTGGGGGAAGTCTGGACATAGTTAGTGGTTAGAGTATCATGTATTGGGGAAAGTCTGGACAGAGTTAGTGGTTAGAGTATCATGTATTGGGAAAGTCTGTACATAGTTAGTGGTTAGAGTATCATGTATTGGGGAAAGTCTGGACATAGTTAGTGGTTAGAGTATCATGTATTGGGGAAAGTCTGGACATAGTTAGTGGTTAGAGTATCATGTATTGGGGAAAGTCTGGACATAGTTAGTGGTTAGAGTATCATGTATTGGGGAAAGTCTGGACATAGTTAGTGGTTAGAGTATCATGTATTGGGGAAAGTCTGGACATAGTTAGTGGTTAGAGTATCATGTATTGGGGAAAGTCTGGACATAGTTAGTGGTTAGAGCAAGGGAGCTAGTTACGTCACAAAAAGAAGGTGCTGATTGTGTCGAAGGTATTTAGTCGAATGGCGATACACTGCACTGGATAGTCGTGGATGGTCCACTGCACACATAGCCCCTGTATAAGCCTTACGCACGTTATTGAACAACCCTAAATGATCCGTGTTCTCTATGGTAATAAAATGTATGTATCAGTTACGTTTATTGCAAAACAAACATTGTATGTATAACTGGGTCTAAGTTTCAACTAAATGTACAAAGTAGGGTATTATAACAGTGTCACTCACATACAAGACCCGCGGCAGAGGAGAGACGGCTGCTCTACCAGATATGTGCTTTCTGAGCGGTCTGAATAATATTAAGCCAGCACGAGTTGTTCCCCTTATGCTGGCTGGACTCGTCGGGACTAATGTATGTTGAGGCTAAGGGTTTGTAGATCTATTGGCGGTGCATATATTTCTTAGTTAACATCGCACTGAAGGATATTCCACCTCTCTGACTCTTACAACACCGAATCTGAACCATACAAACTAATGATTGATAGTATAAGCAGAGCCAGATAATCCATTATGTCACCGAACCTGACCATTCAATAAACAGAGTCGCCGCATCCAATCAGACTTGGAAGTGCTGGCAACCGGACCATTCTGGTGAAACACTACACATTTAACCACTCAACTATAAACGTGCACATGTGAACATTCAGCTATATACCTTAAAAACCTGACCTCTCTATGTGGGACTTTAGTAATTGCAGTGCAGGTATTTACCGATTGATAGCGTTTGGAATTGCCCTTTAACGAAGTATAACGATTGTATTAAAATTATGACGTTTAGTCGCTCGTTTTTGATGACTGTGATCTTTTGTTTATGACAAGGTGACTGCGAAGTCTCAAACAAAAATACAAGTCACACATTCTCAAACGAGAATACAAGTCACACAAGTGAATTTGGTTCTCTATAATGGCCACAATTAATGGAAGCATCCGTAAAATCCTTGAATTGAAGCCTCTATTTTTCAAGGGGAAAGGAAAGTCAGGGCGTCGTGGGTTTGGTTGTTTTTCATGCGATGTGAGTTCAACATCCAGATGTTCACACCTCACCAAGTTTAGAAACAAGAATTATTCGTCATTCAATAATCCAGTTAAGACGATCCAAACAAAAAGGAATGTTCATTTTAATCTGTAGGATAAATGTTCCTTGTCAGATAGCCAGTGTTAATGAGCCTCAAAACTCCCAGACGACCATCATGAAGCAGGTACCTGCCTTTGTCTCAACAATGGTTCCGTCTCCAGGTCCGAAGATTCCAGCGCCACAGCAGACGTTGCCTTTGATGTTCATGATTGTTTGTTTGCTTGTTGTTTAACGCCATAGTCAGCAATATTCCAGCGTAGGGCGGCGGTCTGTATATAATCGAGTCTGGACCAGACAATCCAGCAATCAACAGCATGAGCACTGACCTACCCAAATGGGATACGATGACATTTGGGGAGCAAGGTGAACCGGCTGTGCTTTTCACCAAAACGATAAACGTCGAAGATCTTACTTCGGACTTCCCTCCCACGTGAGTGAGTGAGTGAATGAGTATAGCTTTACGCCACATTCAGCAATATTCCAGCTATAAGGCGGTCGTCTGTAATTAATCGAGTCTGGACCAGACAATCCAGTGATCAACAACTGAGTTGGACAGTCAGTGTATTAGTCACTAACTCATGGACCATCTATTTGAGGTCATGTGTGATGCTATGTGATCTATAAATGCTGAATTAGTATTATTGTTGCTGGTCTTGGTTTTTGGTGGGGTGGGGGTGGGTGGAGGGCTTTGTTTTTGACAGAATGCCTGCTTCAGAACTTTCAGCTGAGCTGGCTGACTGGCTGAGTATGGTTTTACACCGTTTTTAGCAATATTCCAGCAATATCACGGCGGGAAACACCAGGAATGGGCTTCACAAGTTTGTACCCATGTGGGGAATCGAACCCTGGCCTTCGGCGTGACGAGCGAACGCTTTAACCACTAGACTACCCCACCGTCCCTGAACTTCTCAGAACTCATGCCTGTTTATTTTAGTTAAGTAAAAGATGTCAACTCTGATATCCATGAACATCTGAACTAAAAAACAGCAAAAAGAACAAATTTAGTATTTGACTATTCTTTATTGTAAATCTCCACTACAAAATACAACAGTGTATGGGTAAAGCTCCGAAAAGTACAATATGTGCGATTTGCTGACTTGGAAATGGAAATAGAGGAAAGAAAAGATTAATATTTGTGTAAAGCGTTTGCAAAGGTTCACAATAAGTAAATTAATATCAAATAGCTTTCTGGTTATTCTAAACTCCATTTTCGCAGGATCAGAGGAAAGACAAGATAAGTATATGTGTACAGTTCGCTCTCCCACCATGTATAGTGTAATAAGGTCTGCCTTTGTCCTGAACTATTATAGCTAAAGTACGAGGACGCGAGCGTAAATAAGTGAAAAAGTATCAAACAGCTTTCTGGTTATTCCGAACTACATATCCACAGGAGAGCGGCCTCTCATCTTGGAAGCCAAAACGAAAACTGTCCACTAACGTACACAAACAAATGTCTATATTACAAAATAGTATGATAAAATAACAAATCATGTTACTGTCTCCCCTTACTGTAGAAATAGAGGCATATACATTTACTACAACCGCTGTCTTGTATTTCTTACAAGAAGCGGTATGTCAACTTATCCTGAAATAAAACAATATTTCTGCAAGAGTTACAAGCTCTGGGGCTGGTTAATAAAATCAATCATCCCTTTACACAAGACATAGTGACTGAAGCGTTTGTAAAATATCACAATTCATTTCTGTCTGCAAGCGACTGAAAGGGGAACATGTTGACCTCTGATTATTGCGAGAAAGTGCCTATAAGTACTGTTGGAAAGTGTCTTTTAAAATATACCTGATATTCTCCTTGTATAAACATGTTTTGGGTTAACCCAAAACAATACAATACACATTGAACAAATTGACAATACACATGTTTCTCATTCAGTTTGTAACAAGGAAAAATATATATCGCCTTAACACGATGAGCTACTGTGGATTGTGACATCATCTCAGTGAAATTTACAAGTCAACTGCTAAACAAGTCAAATAAAACACTTGTATCAAATATCGAAAGCAATGAGTGACAAAAAACTCTACACGTGGCTTACACTCCGGTGGTATTCACCAGGTCCGTGTACTGTATGTTCTAATACATGCCATACACCCCGTGGTATTCACAAGGTCCGTGTACTGTATGTTCCAATACATGGCATACACCCTCGTGGTATTCACCAGGTCCGTGTTGTGTGTATGTTCTAATACATGTCATACACCCTCTTGGTATTCACCAGGTACGTGCAGTGTATGTTCCAATACATGTCATACACCCGTGGTATTCACCAGGTACGTGCAGTGTATGTTCCAATACATGTCATACACCCCGTGGTATTCACCAGATCCGAGTAGTGTATGTCCCAATACATGTCATACACCCCCGTGGTGTTCACCAGGTCCGTGTAGTGTATGTTCCAATACATGTCATACATCCCGTGGTATTCACCAGGTCCGTGTAGTGTATGTTCCAATACATGTCATACACCCCGTGGTGAGTGAGTGAGTGAGTTTAGTTTCACGCCGCACTCAGCAATATTCCAGCTATATGGCGGCGGTCTGTAAATAATCGAGTCTGGACCAGACAATCCAGTGATCAACAGCATGAGCATCGATCTGCGCAATTGGGAACCGATGACATGTGTCAACCAAGTCAGCGAAACTGACCACCCGATCCCGTTAGTCGCCTCTTACGACAAGATAGTCGCCTTTTTATGGCAAGCACATGCATACCCCCGTGGTATTCACCAGGTCCGTGTAGTGTATGTTCCCATACATGTTCGGTTATGATCAATGGACATGTTTAGGGATCATGTTGTTTTTAATTAATATTTTAACTGCAATTACTCGCGTATGATATCCACATGCTAGGTGCAGGAAAATAGTTTATAGGTGTACTAGATCATAAGTTGCACTACTAGCGATATGTTTTCTACAAGCTTCACTGTTTGTGTTTTGTATAAATACTTGAGAATCTCACGTACAACAAGGTCATGAGGAAAGTTCTCTTCACTCATGCTGCTGTTAGGTATCTACTACATATCCATGTGTTCATAGTCACCATCACTGTCACCATCATGACAGCGCCTTGACAATCATCGCTTTCTTCTCCTCCGTCATGTTGATGTCGCTGCCCACTACAAGTCTCATGCTGACAGTGAGGCGATGTGGGTTATACCCCGAACATCGGCCACAGTGGTTCACTACAGTCTACATTGTCTAACGTCGACATGACTTTCTTCTCCTTCACATCAATGAAGACAATCTTCTTCCTGGCGTCATCATAGACAACACCGTAATGTAGTGTGTGTGATGTCCCTGCTGTGTTGGGGAGAGTGTCAGGCAGACACAGCACATACTTCCCTCCTTCCTTATCTTCCTGCATATCCCGTCGTGTGTAGTACAGTGGGCGACGGCCATACAGTAGGAGTAAGGACGTCCAGCTATATCATGACTCACGTCCCTCTGCTCCTCCCTACATACTCCAACCTCCAGGATGAGCCTGTTCCATGGGAGTGGTTTCGCCAGACTGACCCTGTTCTCTACCTCCCAGTACTGTGGACAGCCATCCTGGGGGAGGGGGCAGTGCTGCATGTGCCGGTGAACTTCTTCATTCTCCCTCCCCTGCAGGTCTTGTGTCCGACTTCCTGTTGACCAGGTCTCCTTCTGTGTTGATGTGGACTTTGTCGAGATTGACTCTGTCTTTGTCATACTTCAGTGGTGTACCTACAACATGTGAATTTAGATGTAAATAAGACATAAGCCGTTAAATTCCATACTAATATTAATGTGCACGAAATTCACATCTATCTACAAAGTACTGATATGCATAGAGCAATATAATCAATGCAGAAGTAAGTACAATAAAACTGCTGTGTATTATATTTGGATCAACTGATAATGAATCTACCCGAATTGTCAGTATGGTAAGGGCAACACATCAATCTGAATGGCCTTAAAGGAATCAGAAATATTTACAGTTGATATTCTGAATTACAGACACGGAATGGTAAACAGAGCAGGATAATCATCGGTCATACAGAAGCGAACAGTCGCAGTCGTACACTGTTTCATTATACAGACGCGCTATAATGAGGAACGTGTAGATTGCATGTCAAACATTGTCAAAATCAGTGTCACTTGAGCAGGAGACGTCATTCGGGAGATTGTGTTACATGTTAAGGACGAACATGGCTCGCCATACTGCCTGTTTGTTGTTTATTAGGGCACTCAGCTATAGAAGTGTGCCAGCTATATCACGGCGATCTGCAAAACATGCAGTCCACACCCAATAATCCAGTGATTGACAATACCAGCATCGATCTACGAAAATATCCATAACGAGCCTGACCACCCGGTCCTGTTAGTCGTCTCTTACTACTAGCATGGATTACTGAAGACCAGTTCTAATATACATCTTCTGGGATCGCTCGGCGGGTTGACAATGGCAAGAAGATAGATTGTCAGGAGGACGCAAACAGGAGAAAATAATAATGACATTATGTATAAACAATTCATGTTTTTTGTTAATGTTTCTGGAAGATCATATTTTGGAAAATATTATGATGTTATGGTTTGTAGCGAAAGAAAAAACATGTTGAGACCAAAAGCCTAACACAATTAATTAAGAGTATCAAAAAATATTATCGAAATGCCTTCCCGCTCTTTGTTGTGACACGCTTTATGAACGTTGAATATATGATAAAAGGGGTCGTTCATATTTTCAGTTAGATATGGTAGAAACAATAAAACACAATCGGCAAAAATCTGAAATTTTCATAATATATTGATATCTTCAAATAACAGTTGGGTCTTTTGTAGGATTGTAAACAATACTAGGACTGCCGAATGACTTTGAGGAGTAAAAAGTGAAAAAAGGAAATGTCACAGGGGTGAATGTTGATTTTTAAACTTTATTGAAAGTCACTCTCAGCTATAACCGTTTTTTTGTCATTACCAACAACAACGCTCCACCACTCTAGTCTTGCTTTAACGCAGCATTTGTAATCAGACTGGACATGCGTCGTCAACATCTTGATGAACATCTTCTGTTTACTGGCATAAACAGTAATTGAGAATATCCCCCCAAAATAGAAATGCATTCTTGCTGTATGACACGCGAGCCCCACAAGTGCAACTCATCACAACATCGATTTGGCGGAGGCACGTTTCTTTTCTTGCTCGATCAAAAACAGATGCTTGCAAACGTGAACTGTTGACAGTTTTATACTTTTTTTAACATGATAACTAAGTTTGAATTTTGTGAAACAAGGACCAAATGCACTTATGTCTTTTTGTTTACAAATTTTAAGTCCTTCTCAATTATGTCAAAGAGAAGGAATTGAGAGTTGCTAGATCATGTCATGTGGTCACGCACGTGTCCTGAGTTACTCCAACACATTTGGCAGTGTTCTTGAAAATGGTGTAACTGATCTGATTGATTCTCATGAATAATAGTATTAAAAAAATCTTGGGACGTCAATAGATGCAAACAATAACACTATTTACTCTGTTTTATCGAGATATGGTAGTTATGAATATTAAATATGTGATGAAAGGGGTTGTTAATACTTTCAGTTAGAAATGACATTCAAGAAGATTCTATTAACAAAACTCTTAAATATTTTTCAACTGAGTGCATGTAGTCTGTTGAGGGGTGTACACAGTACCAAGTGACTTTCAGGATTGAAAAACAAATGTGAATTTTCATTACCAACAGTAACGCTCCACCAGGCTGGACGTGCGTCATCAACATCACGATGAACACCTTCTGGTTACTGGCATAAATTAAACTCGCATAATTTAACAAAATATAGCCAATATGTCCAGTGTGTCTCAGTCTGTGATTTACAAATTTGGAAAAAAAGGTTTTTGAAGAAAAAAATGTCAAAGATCAGCCCATCAACGGGTGCCCGTGTTTACGTTGATCACCAGGCATGACCCTGGAACTTTAAGCCCCCATGATGCGTTACATTGTTAAAACAATACCACACAATCAGTGAACCCCAGCGTCCGTTACTTCAAGCATGAGATACGTAACTTCGTCTATTCTCCCCAGTCGAAGTATATGACTACATGTCCTATGTGGTGTGCTGACGTTGTATTTTATTTGAGTAAATGTACTCACACTTCAGCACCACAGACCTGTCTACAGTCCCTGGCTTCAGCAGATGGATACAACATTCCCTGGCCACACCTGTAAAACAAACATGCATATAACCATATATGTATAATGTATATGTATGATAAATATAAGACACAAAACCCATTCAAAATACACAAAAGCCTCCGACAAGAGCTGTGTCCGTTCCGACTTTATCATGAGCATGCGTTTAAGGAATCATAATCAAATAGTGATGATACCATCTGTTCGGGAAGGTTTAGTGACTCCATGTTTAACATATGATTTAAGGTGATTATATGACAAGGATTATATATGTTTACCACTTCGATGATTTTAACCGATTGTAGATACAAGTGAAGTCGTCAAGTATATTGCGATATTGCCTGGGAGGCACAGGAAGAAACGTAATGCAAATTTACCAAGTAAAACATCCAGGTTCTTTGAGAGTCTCTTCTCGATGTTTTCCTTCTCGGCAATGAACTGTAAACATTGTACATAATTCTATATCAAAACATTGGTTAGCTCAAGGGTATAAGGTTTCCAGGGCATGTAATATTTAATTATAACGTTTGCAAGCTTTATTAACAGAAATGTTTGTGAAATTCTTGAACAAAAAGGGGTCACATAGAATTCACTTGCAGACTGTCATATTCACAACCGTATCCAGAGGTCGGACCCTAACTAAACGTTTGAAAAGAACGTCAGGAAACTGTCATCAAGTGCACTGCATCCTTTCAAATGTTTTCGATGATTATTGAGATCACATAAGTGTAGATGCTGACACATTTAAATGTTTGAAAGCACGTGAAGTTATGAAAAATAGAAGAAACGATTTCAGGAGTTTGATTTCCCCACTGAGCCTGTCCGTAAGGTGTTAACATTTTTCTCGCCCGAATCAATTTTCGTCTTCATTTCTTTACTTTCCTGAAAAAACTCTTAAAACACACAGATTATTTAATGGGCTGACATCATTAAAAACCCTTTAAAGGGTTTTTAATGGTTATAAATTGAGATGACGTTAAAGCGATATTTTTTGTGTGACATATATACTGGAATATAAGGGCAGATGCAAAGATGTCTAAAGGTATGAACGAAGGTAAATAATAAAATCAAAACGATTTGAGGCTACTGATGTCTCCATTGACCTCGTCTGTGAGCAGTCTGTAGCTTTCACTCCGTTACTCCTCTGAATCCATTTTCGTCTTCAGTTCTACAATTTCTTGCAAAACACCTAACATATAAGGAATTTGATGGGCTGAAGCATTCCTAGAGTCTTGAATGTTGCGACATAGTTACTTGGGTCTCTCTACGATTTGCCAGTCTGTTTGTCATCAAGAAGGTATGATGTACCACAGACTATACTCACCATTTTATGTTTCCTGTCCAGGTCTGCCATATAGTCATCAAGGGTCTGGGTATCCTTGTCTACAACAACAGCATAATTATATATGATTAAAAATATTTACGTCATAGGCCTGAAATGCCGGGATAATGTTTTATGAATTTTACAACTTGAAAAACAAAGTGAGGTGAGGTGAAATTGGGTTTAACGTCATGCTTGAGAATATTTCGATCATATGACGACGTGCATACGTGTGTATGTGTATGTGCGGCTGCTTGTACTAGCCCAGACTGAAGCTGGTTTTATAGTGCTAGCCCACTGAGATACCATGCCGCAGTGAATCATGAATACCCCACTCAGACACATTATACTGACACCCAGCCGACCAGTCCTTGTTGTACCCATTAATGCCGAGCGCCAGGCAGGAACCAACAAATACCACAATTTAACGTCTTTTGGTATGACGCGGTCGGGGATCGAGCCTGCGACTTTCCGCTCCCCAGACAGACGCTCTAACCACTACACCACGGAGGCGGTACAAAAAACAAAGTTATCAACAGACATAATGGATCTTAAATTATAGAAACATGAATACAAAAGAGGTATAAATAATAAATAATGCCAAATAAAACATAACAAGAATGCCACACATACAAAACCAATACAAAGAATAATCAACTTGTAATAATGTCCAATTGGAATACCTTTAAAAGGTTCAGCGTCCCCTACATTTGTCGTAATGGCACCAAATACTGATATATTTGATTTCAGCACTGACAATCTGTTTGTATTGAGGAAAGCTGACGTTACAGCACGGGACTGAGACCTAACATCTTTCAGGCAGCTCCGAGCTCTGTTTCCTACACGGCTCTCCAGCTCCAGGATGTGTAATTTGGGGGCATAGAGGAGGACTTTGTCAATGTAGTCTGAAACATTTCTGCATGTCTCCCAATCTTCTTCAGTGGTGGTGAGGAGAGTCTGTTGTGTTGCCTTGATCTCTTTTGTAAGATTTTCCAGATCGGTCTTAAGTTCACTCTCTCGTTGATCAAGAAGCGATCGCAGAGTCTGGAATATGTGGCCAATATTTTCTTTCAAAGTGTCGTGTGTTCTGTCAGTGTATTTAATGTCTTGTCTGATGCTCTGCATGTGAGTTTTCTGACGAGTCTGCAGCTTTAATAGCTCATTCTTCTGGTGGCGGAAATGTTCCGTTACAGCATCAGCAGCCACATCCAAGTACTTCACATCATGGTCTGCGTGATCATGGAGTCTACATCTCGCACAGATCCACTTCTGGCAGGTTGCATCAATGAAGTCCAAAGAGTTGTGTTTATGGATGCTGCAAAATGTTGGAATGTTCAAGACAGTCGGTACCATGTCACTGAAGTTTTGAAGTACATGGTTTCTGGAAAGTTTGATGTTGCTGTGCTCATTCTGGCAGTACTCACACAGGAACTCTTCACAGTCCCGACACCAACACACAGCCTGGTTGCCGTCCTTTTTATGTGTACAGTAGAGCTCTGTGGGGCGATGTTTTACTGTCAGATGGAATATTTCCTTCTGTCTCACTGCATCCTTCTGGAGGCTTGTGTCCGTGAGGTTGACCTCCGTCTGACATGTGGAGCATGATATCACACCACCAGCTGCAGATGTCACACACGTCTCACACACGGCGTGTAGACAGGGCAGTAGGTAGGGGGCGGGACCCTTCAGTGTAAACTGATGCTGACAGACAGAACATTTGGGGAAGTCGTCCATTCTGGAAGACAGAAACCTAAAATGAGCTACTTAAAGATGAATGCACGTACGTGTAACATGCACTAAATATACAAACAATCCCTGGCTGTTTCCATCAGTCTTGGTCAAAAGTCCCTCGTCCAAAAGCCCCTCTGGACAAAAGCCATTCGACCAAATGCCCCTGACTTAAAGTATTAATCGGAAAATAAGATTAAAGAAAGCAAATGATTTATGATATGAACTTCTTATTTGCTTCGTGATATCATGGTCTAAAATAACACATAAATTAATATGTAATTAGCAAATGATTTAGTGAATAAGAAATATATTTCATCAAACAAATGATAACAAACTAACAAGAAATGAGTAATGACATGAAAACTTGTATTGCATCATAATTAATAATGAAACAAATCAACACAACCTAATGTTGTGGCCTAAGGCGGAAAGAAAGTCCATTTCTGTTGACGTAATCCTTTTCCTTTACATTGATACAACCCCCTAACCAAGAGTCTTTAACATACATGAAGCTTCACTTTAGACGGATGAGAATTTGGTTAATGAGTTAGTGCAGACACGCACATTCGCGTAGTTCAGGGACACAAAGATCCCTGTGGTCACCCAGCAGTAAACAGGCAGCCGAAATGATGAGATGACAAGGCCACCCTGGAAACGTGCCTGGACAAGTGTAATCTTTACAGTATGGGCCGAGAAAAAAAAGCGATACCAATAGATAAATGTTTGTATCGACATGATATTTACAGTTGAGAGAAATTTGGCCAGTCCACACATAACTCAGACAGGGAATGGGGCTTTTGTCAATAAGCGCTGCCTGATCGAACCTTTCTGAGAATGGGAAGTCTCCCAAGCACTACAGGCTTCTGCATTACCCAGAGTGCCAGAACGTCTGTTACCGACAGCAAGTATGCCAAACCTAAGACGCCAAGAACAACAGGGATTCGGACAACTTGGTACTTGGAATGTAAGTGTGAAATTTCGTAATATATGCCATGTTTCTCCGGAATCATTTCAATCACACCAGGACCGAAAATTCAATAATATGAATGGTTTCATTGGTTTTGTCGAAGGAACAAGGGAGTGATTGTTGATTTCGATACACGTGAAGCTGTATACGAAGCCCTCAACACAGTCTTGGTTAGCCGATGTACGTTTTTTTTTTTTAGTCCAAACCTCAAGTATTGTAAAAGGCCGTTTTTATGGATCTTGCCAAGCCACTATTTTCCTGAAGACACAAAGTGTCAGTGCTGGGTGTCCACGGGCATGGTGTTGGACAGTCTTATTAAACTCAGAGCTTAATCTAGTCTATACTGAGTCCAAAAAACCCCCAAACTTCACAATTTAGATTTGTAAATAATAATATGAATTTTTATAGTAGACACATTACGGGTCATTTCTGGTGTCCCCGGCTGTGATTTTGCTGGAATATTGTTAAAAGCGGTGTAAAACCAAACTCACTCACTCACTCATTGCACGTGCATTCGATCGGAAATGTTCCCTCAACTTTACAAAGTGAAAAAATACTTTAAAGCACTAACAAGAACAGCCAATTATTATGCCGCGCCTCTCAAATGTGCAGCAGTAAGTGACGTCAGTAAGTGACGTTGCAAGGACAATGGGGTGCAGCCGCCGGACTGTTTATGATTTACAGACTCGAATGCAACAAACGAGTGACGTCACAGGCGGGGGACCGTGAAATTGTGTTACATCACCTCTGTAATCGATTTTTCACGGCTACAGGAACCAGAAATGATCTGTTTAGGGGTCGATTGTTGACACAAACCATCCGAAACCGGCTGCCAACAGCTCACCTTCGGGTTCAATGACCATATTGTGGAACCATTTTGACGCCATTACGTCAGCGTTTGCTGTGGGCCCGACGACACCTCCGACTCAGAGAGACTGGAATCGAGTTGTCTTCAGCGATGAATCAAGCTTTACCCTCAGATTTGCTGATGGTAGGATGACAGTGTGGAGGCGACGCCGTGAACGTTAAGCCAAGTGTTGTGTACAGGAAGTTGACAGATTTGGGGGCAGAAGTGACATGGTCTGGGGTGCTTTCTATGGGATTGCCCGTCCCTGACTTCTGGTTATAAGTGGGAACCTTAAAGCTACAGTTTACCGCGACCAGGTGCTAGCCTCCGAACGTATTCCATTCATGGCGGCACATGGTCCAGGTCTGCACTTTCAACGTGACACTGCAAGACCCCACAGCCAGCTTGACCAGGATATACGTGCAGGAATCAACGTTCTTGACTGGTCGTCAAGGCCACCTGATCTCAGTCCTCTCGATTTCATCTGGGATGCTCTTGGTAGAGGTCTGCGCGCTCTCGGGAACCAATCCCCAATAAGGTGTTTACATGCATCAGGCAGTCCATGAGGAGGCGTTGCTTGGCAGTTGTGAATGCAAGGGGTGGCCATACACGCTACTTGATTTCTTTTGACTTGGCACTTTGTTTACGCCGTTTATTGATAAAGTCTGTAACCACGTGGAATTGATCTTTGGCATTGTGATTATTCTCAGTTCATCCTATGGACCGTAACAAATAAATGATAACCCCTATACCACATTCTTGTGACCTTTTTTATATATTTAATATATGATTGTGAAGTTTTTAGTTTGACTGTATATTTGAGTAACGTTTGCCTTACTTGTTTGACGTTCTGGCAGAAAGGTTCAATTGATGGAGTTCTGTAAATAAACGAAATTGGATCTTAACAATTAACTCTAGCCATTAGTAAGCTATATTAATTTGTATTGTGTATGAAGCTTTATGTGATAGGGCTGGGACGGGGACTCGGTACTCGAATCCGAGTCGGGTATAGCTTGAATCGAGTACTATTTCTAGGAATCGAGTTCCTGAAAAAGGAGAAGTGCACATAATAACTTGTCTTTTTCATCATTGACGTAACACACATTTGCATCATTGGTATTGTCTGATAAATGGAGGTCATTATTAACGACTGTATATATCTCAGCATGAGCAGTGAGGAGTCAAGTAACGGTAACAGCGGTAACGAAAGGTCCTGTGTTTTAACGAGGAATGCATGTAATGGTGTTACTCTCTATATTTGTTAAATAGACGTAAATTAAATAGCCTATGTTCAGTTTCAGTGTGTTATTGTCATCCTTTCAAGGTCTGTATAAAAATCTCCGTCAACTCAGAATTGAATATACAGAAAGTTGACAGAAGCGCTTTATTCCTTACATTTCCGGGTACTCGATTCCGATTCGGGTACGTACATGCGGGTACTCGATTCCATTTTTTCTTACCCGTCCTAGCCCTATTATGTCGTATGTTTTTCTGCATATGCATATCAATCGAGAAAAATAGCTTCTATCACCAATGCAAATAGTTTGCCAATATTCTGTCAGGTTTCCAGCAATTAAAATATGTTGTGGTGTATTTGAAGTTGTTAGGAAACCGAAGGGTCAAGATATGTACACAAACAAACATAATTATGATGTGATTATCATGGCTTCATTGGAGATAAATATCACAGGTATTGCAATATTTCTTTCCATGTGTACATATAGTTCAAAACATCAGAAGCTGGAGGGTTCCTAACCATAGATTTCCTCCTTCAAACAACGGTTTACACATTTCAAACTATTCCTATTTACCCGATGTTTCGTCTCTCTTTTCATGGCGAGGCTTCTGAAGTAATTCTTCGATTTCCTTCTCCAGTTTCTGCTTTCTCTGAGCATGCAGACACATCAGTTTTGATAGTTTCTCTTCATGATGCTGGTTTACTTCACTGATCACTTGTTGATGGTCCTCATCCAGAGCACGTAACTGTTGTCGTAATTCATCAAGCGGGGTCCCCAACTGTTGAAATAATGATAGCAAAGACCCCATATTTGGAAAGACGAACAACAGTATTTCACTATGTTGAATAAAGCTAAATCTGATTGTAAATAAACAACATTTTTGTGGTAATAAAGTCTATTTGAATGTAACATTTATCACGCATTGAATATCATGTGTGTTTAACTACTTAGCAGAAACCAAAGGTATTGGAGTCTTATCAAATTCTGTGATAATTCCAGTGATAATAAACAAATGAGCATGTCGTGATAAATGCAATATGTTCATTCGTATCTGGCGGTACACATTGCTGAAGCTTCCCTCTCCCTCAAACTAACAACACAGAGACAGTAGAAACAGATGGAAGTACCTCTGTTGTATCTACTTTGGCCGTCCAACCTCTTATTCAACACTGTAAGACTACATACACAGGTTGTACAGCGGTGGATGGTGTAGACAAGGTACGTGTGAGGCTAAAGGTGGAGCGTCAGGTAAGTTTGAAAACATTCCTCTCGTGTTTTACATTACCTGACGCTACACATTCTCATGAGAACTGAGGATTGGCACAAGTTGAGTGCCCTCGTATCAGAGAAAGAGGTCAGAAGCAATCGGCAAAGCAAAGGCGAATTTCCATCCGGGGCATATCCGAGATATGGGGAGCTGATAGCGTTTGAAGACAGAGAGCAGGTTCTCCCATGAACTGTACGAGACTGTGAATCACAGTCTCCAACAGGCCGAGACCAAAAGCACAACGTGTCTGCACATGTTGTAATTACCCTGGGCAGCAAACCAGGGAAAGAAAAAACGTCCGCGTAATTGAGGGCACCAGTGAAATTCCAACCGGGGCCACCTTTCACTGGAAGTGCTGACCCTGAAAAATGAATGAGCAACACGTGTAGCTACATGGAAGTAGGAATCCTCCAGGCTGACGCCGATTGAGAGCACATGAAAGTGTGGAGGACTACTGACATAGTCGGGACTGAAAAGCACCATGTTCTTATTCATATGCGTCTTCATCTAGAGCAAACGCCTGACATGGACCCGTGAAGATCCGGGTTAGACTTCAGCAACCCATGCTTGTCTTGAGAGGCGACTAAACAGATGACACATGGCATCACATCCCAGTTACGTAGATCAATGCCCATGCTATTGATCACGTGATTGTATGGTACAGACTCTAATATTTACAGATAGCCGCCATGTAGCTGGCATGTTGATGAGTGTGGCTTAAAACCAACAAACCAACCTGACATGATCTGTGGATCCCAAACTTCCTTGGTGTCCTTGGCATCTATATTGGCAGCAAACTCGGGAATCTACTAAGCTTGATAACCACGTTCTAACAGTTCAGTGGTAGCTAAGGGATGTAGTCAGAATGCGTTCTTCTTGGTGGTTTGTCTTCCGTAAGAGGCTGGCGTTGCTGATGAAAGGAAGGGCCTTGTCTATCGCACCTTGGACGCTTTAGCTTAGGGATGTAGTCAGATTGCGTTACTCGAGTCAACTCTTCTCAATCTCTGGAGCATGATAAGAGTGATTGGCATAATGAGACAACTGGCGTAGAGAGGTGCCAGTTGACAGCTATCTGTTAAACTTACTACCACCTACATTTGCCGCCCGTGAATTTCAGGGCATTCTTGGTAGTTTCTCTTGCATAACTGGCTGGTGTTGCTGATGAAAGGAACGCCTTGTCTATCACGGTTTGGACGTATACCTACACAGGTCTTTCCTTAAGAGACTGCAGATGAAAGAAGCCATGATGACTACTGAGAGGGCATCCCATACAAGAAACATTTAGCTGTCAGAAGAGGTACACCACGGTGACTGATTGAGCAAGGTGGGTGGTCCAGCGTAGGAGGTAAGTTGACAGACTGGCGCATGTCAAGCGACAGATGACAGTGCTTCGGTTCACTGGATGAGAGGGAGGTGTGTCTTATAGGTGAGACCCATGAAAATCCGGTTAGAATTGGTCGTCAGCAGCCTATGCTTGTCGTAAGAGGCAACTATCAGGATCAGGTGGTCAGGCTTGCTGGCTTGGTTGACGCATGTGATCGTATCGCAGTGATCATGCAGTTGATCACTGGAATGTCTGGTCCAGCCTCGATTATTTACACACCTCCACATTATAGCTGGAATATCGCTGAATGTGGCGTTTATCAACAAACAAACCAAACTTACAGGTGATAGGTCCTTGCATCAGGCACTTGTGAGACCTGCACTAGATTAATGCGAAATCAATAAGTTAACTTTGGAGGAGATGATCCCAGAAGAGCAGTATGAGGGTCAGATGGGTTCTTCATTCAAGGCCCATCTGAGGGGCAAAAACCGGAGGTAGTGGATTCAAAGTCGACGGGAGTATTGGTCATACAGCCATCTACTTTCAATGAATATGTTGTTTCTCATGCTTTATCAGCACGTTTTTGTAACATGTAAAATTCTGTTCTAAACCAGCTAAAACAGGGCGACGGTTGTGATGTGTTTAGGATGGACAGCAAGAGAAATGCTGTACATTAGAACTTTCTCGGACATTGGTCTTTTGAACAAAAGGCATCACACCCAAGAACACAATGTGTAACGAAGAAAATCTATGAATGGGGATATTGGCATAAGGATCACTATTTACATGTTCCCTCAATAAAAGAACCACGCACCGTAAACACAAACTAACTGTCTACATGACACCCATGATACCAAGACATATCCCGGGCTGGTTAAAGCTTTTTGAGGGATATTGTCTCTTCAAACACAGAAGTCCATCAGTGGGTCCACAACACTATATTTGTCAGCTAAGTATGTAATTACATGATAGTGCAGCAAAGGCCAGGCAGCATCACAGAGGCGATCGTCAGACCAGATGCCTAGGCGCTCTCCAAGGGTCAAGTCCCGTTACATTAAGAATTCATTGTCTATATACTACTGACTGTCAGGCTGCCCTGCATCGTATTGGGATACATGTATGGTCAACCTGCAGTATCCAGCATGCACCTCATCCACAATGTTAAACTTCCGTGGCCAACAGGCCATACTCTAAGGTTCATTAGGGTTAATTTACACGCATGCAGCTGACCTGTACATGGCTGTGCTGTCATGATAATAAGCTGCTATTATTTCATGTATATTGTCGGCACTGTGATTTAGATTCAGATAACACAACTTTAACTCACACACACAGACCTCAACATTTTGTATCATTTTAACATTAAAATAACAATCAATTCTCTCTTTTCACACACACATTCACACACACACACACACACACCAACATTTTGTATCATTTGAGCAATAAAATAAGTCAATTCCCCTCTCGCTCTCACACACGCGCGCAAATCTCTCTCTCTCTCTCTCGTCTGTTCTATCGCGACATATTGTATCTTTTTGTAACAATCAACACACACTCTCTCTCACACACGTTGCACACACACCCACACACACGCGCGCACGCCCCACACACACGTTCTCATCTACTCTCGTCACACCATTAAAAATACACTTTCAAGTCCTTAAGACATCATATCCATATTCAAGCTTATGGGCATAACATTCCCATGAAAAGCAAAGCATGGAAATCAATCTCGGACATATTTCAAACACATCTTTCAACTCCAAACATTAATCAAACAACGGCCCATGAATACATACATTTATATTTCAGTACATATTAGAAAGCGGTGGCCAGGAGGACAGACAATTACTTTGATGGAACATAGACACACAGGTGTATGCTACGATAGAGAGCATACAGAACGGGGACATGAAACGGAACACATTTACAAAGAAGGTAATAAGCGGTGTCGGAAATACGTTGAGGGAGTGGAGGCGACACTCTGGGTGACTGAGTTGGTATAGCCCACAGTGGACACACATGTATGGGTGTCTGTGGGCATGATACACGGGGGGTGGGATGGGAGGTGGTGGGACGGGAAAAACTGGGTGATGGCAGGGGGAATGGAGGGGTTGGGGGAATGCATTGCTTGGGGAGGGTTGAAAGTCATTAGTTTGCTTCTGCTGCCCTTCATGTAGTCTGTCCAGCTTAACTTTAATGGATGAGATGAGAGACATGATTCCCCTCCATACCAGACATTTGGTATGTGCCCTCTGCTACCTGGGCACTTTCTGTCATATCGGACAAAGTGTCATGGCGTCTGGTGGCAATAAATTGAACGATATGAGGAAGGGAATTTCTGAAAATGGGGTCTTTTTATGAAAATGGTCATCGTTACATTTCAAAAGGGATGCCTCATGCCGAATTGATTGAAGAAATAATCGAAAGTCCTCATGCTCTCTTTGTTTCCTGTCGATAAGGGCATTTTTACGATTTATAATTTGGATAGATGTGGGGCCATACCATTGAGAAAAGATTGTTTGAGTCCGTGCCATGTCATATTGTCTTTACAGGTAAGTCCTTCATACCAAATCAGCGCGGATTCCGATAAATAGAGGGGGAAAACGTTAATGAGTTCTTCATCAGCGAAATTGTGAATATTAACAAATTTCTGAAATCGGAAGATGCAGAGCGGGGACTCCGAGCCGACCAGTCCTTGTTGTACCCATTAATGCCAACCGCCAGGCAGGGACCAACAAGTACCATATTTTAACGTCTTTTGCTATGATATCCTTACATTGTTAACATTTAAGTGTTCTGTCTGAAGATCTGCTGCGTTTAGGAATCTGTTACGTAATGCAGTGTTAATCATGTGAATATCATCTCGGACTGTTGTGACTCTGGGGCGACCTGGTCGACGTGCATATGTCACGGACCCATTGGTTGGAAATCTGTGCAAGAGTCTACTAATAGCACTCTGACTAACATTAAACCGGACAGAAACCTGTTGCTGAGTTTGACAAGATTCCAAAAGGCCTATAGCCTGACACCTTTCAGCAAGTGTCATCTCATTTTAAGCTGCGATTTCAAACATGTTCCTAAACAGTGAACTAGGGTGAAGATGCATCAATGCATGCGTATTGTCCTCCACTTTTCATGGATAGATCATTGACGTTAAGTGGTAGGGGGATTTCCATATTGATAATCTGAATAAAAAATACGCCATTTGTAAAAAAATGTATCAGATGTGAAAGAACGTAATAATGATATTTCAACGGCCTGGTGTGTTTTTTTATACTGTTAAGAAGGTTTGTAAAACATTCAGTTGTATATATTTCAAGCAAAAAACGAAGATTTTACAGCTTTTAAGAAATAGTGTTACCAATAGCCTAAAGTGCCTAAAATATGAGCCACTGGTCAAGTCACGACTGTTCGAGTTATAGTTCTAGAAACTATGGTGAAAAAGTGTAATGAGAGCAAGAACTTGTGCCTGCGAGACAAGATAAAAAATCTAAATAGGGGACATATACAAAGTTGCTATGTTGTCACAAAAGTACCTTTCTTGAGACAACTACTGCCAACACTGCATACAAAAGTAGTGAAAGATGAACAAGGGAAAGGATAAGATAAGAAAAACCCGAAGGCGAAAAAAGAGTGCGAGGTCGCACTGGCCAAGGTTGATAACTCAGGGGTCCCAAGATTTCGATCTGTTTCAACTGTCTCTCTCTGTTCCAATACTGTCTGTTAGGGTTAAGGTATAAACGGAAGCTAAAGCACATCCTGCGTCAGGTAAGGTACACCGCTCTCGTCAACATGTATAGATCATGGAAAAAAATAACTTGATGTCAATACACATACACATTTCACCTCACTGACATGCCAATATCAATTGGAATGTAATAATTCTTGTTTGCAGATATGTTTCACTAGGCCTTGTTTAGTTGAAGATAGCAAAGGACGATAGTGAACTATTTCTATTTCAAACAATGCCTATATTAAGGTGTATTAAAATATGAATACAAATTTATACATACATCTTGTTCGGAAATGGTCTTCACATGTGCTTTATCCTCCGTAGATGGTGAAAGTCTGGCTGACTCAGTGCCATCAGACAGGTATTTCAGGAAGGTTTCTATGATGGCTGTACATTTCTTTTCGTCCATATGTAGTTCGGCGGGGAAACAGACGCATTTGGCTGAATTCTCACATTGCTCGATCTTCGTCAGGAAATCTTGTCTCTCCTTACACAAAGATGCGTCGACAGTGTCATGAATGATATTGAAATCAAACTTAGTTTCCACCTTCACATGTTGTACGATCAACGTCGCCAACGTTGTGTTGTATTGAATGTTCTTGTGGTTGTCTTCATCCTCAGTTGTGAAAGTCAGCACCATGACAGGGCGTGTCGGGCAGAACACACAAGCATCACACAGGACAGACGCGGGTACTCGCCCCTCCCAAGATGGGTCTATCAACTTCAGCAGGCTACCTCCTGAGATGACGACTGTACGATTTCTGCCTTGTAGTTCTCTCAGCCTCTGTACAATGTGAGCATGCTGTTTCATGAGAGCTTCTTCAACAATGGACGGGAAGATGTCGAAGACTGCATAAAAAAATACTAAAATGAGATAACCACATATCTTAAGATGATATGTAAAGAAAAAAATACATACATTCATATCAACACACATTTATGTCTTATATTTACTCACACGTTTTAAAAAATAAATGTTTAGATGAGTTAAACCTGCTCATCCTTAAATGGACATGGCTTAAATCTGTAAAATAATTGATGTCTTCATGCATAATACTGAGACATGTTTTTGTTTTCATGTTACAAAATAGATAAGGTAGTCAGACTTGGGAAGTCTGACGCAAGCACACACTCACACCAGAATCTTAGTTCTATGGAGAGTAAATTATAGTGATAAAGGCCAGCATTATTAACTGTAAAATAACTTGACCTCCATGTTCACATCATCAAAAAAGATCTGCAAATACATACACGAGTGTTCTGATTCAGCTGACAGTATCCCAACAATCTTCCTCTGTTCTGATGTAGAGACAGTGCCTGACTGGAGAGTATCACCTGAAACAAGCAAAGCAAATGATTTATTTTCAGGATGTATCCAGATGGAGACATCGTGTATAGAAAAACATAATTTCAGTAAAGCCTCACCGGAAGTCTGTGCTTCCTATTACTGGATCATCCGAATCAGAGAAGACGTCATCAGCCAGTAATGGGACGTCTCCTTCTGAGCTGTACCTGCTAGGCACACTGGAGTCATCACTCTCGCCACTATCACTCGTTTTTCCACCAAACTCTAACTCCCTTTCCATGGTGAGTGTATATTAAACTATATCTGTGCGGCTTTGAAATGCTTTAACCAAGCTGCTTTGTCCATCCGATGAATATTATTGTCCTTCACTTCATACGTCCTTGGCCCGTCCTTATCACTGAAGATGATACCATCAAAACAACGTACAGCTACCTCCAGAACACGTGTCTCTGTTCCAGGAATCGGATGTAACCGCACTTTAATCAAATTGTCAGGGGAATGACAGAAGTTGTTTCCATGTAAGGCAATTGTGTCACTTTGAAGTTTAGCATTAATGGCTCTAATGATCTCAGATTCTTCAGATCTCATGGAAAACCCATCAATATTAGGACGTTTGGTTCTGTAACTGTTAGTGTCCCAGGTATCCTCACTTATCCCAACATAGTATGATCCACCTCCCTCAACCTTGGACATGGAGGTCAGGTTATCTTTCAGTTTGAGATCATGCCATAAATAATCCACGAAATCTGACGAGCTTCTCGAAATATTCGTTGCTACTGGAAACCTCAATTTGTCAACATGTAATCCTTTTAGTTCAGTATTCCGGCACTCATGGAGTAGTTGAATATTTTCACACAATCCTTTCGTCGTTGGGGGGAACTGTGTTTGTCCGTCTGTTGAGCATGCATTTAGCCAAATTGACAGACGTTATTGACACATTTTCAATGTCGTTCCTCACTTTAGTGTTAAAATCTAGAGTGGCTATCCCACTCGTTTCCTTCACGTTCACAAAAACGAAGTCAGTATGGCCTTGAAACCTCTGTATATCAGATAGCCATTGGCGCCTGTATGTGTCTACATATAGTTCTCTGTCATCAATGAGATCAGACAGTCTCTTGGTAATGAACTCATCAAACTGTTCAAGACACCTGTCCTCGGATAGTTGACCCTCTACATGAATCAGAACTTGGCCTCCTCCGCTGTTCCTCCAAGCTGAGACTATCTTCCCGAGTCTGTCAAGAGTTTTCTTTTTCTTTTGTAAGAGCTCCCCCCCCGACTTCTTTCCAGCACAAATGACAGACCGGGTTGTATGAAGAAGAATGATGTTACGGCAGTTCGAGTGAGACTTGTACAATTGTCCTACTGACAGGCATTTTGTGCAGGCCTCTGTAAAGGTAAGTGTGGTGTTGAAATAGTTTGAACGGTCTGACTTATTTAATACAGGAGATGCAAAAACAACATGTTATGTAAAAAACGTGTTGTATGTTCCTTGTTCAGACATGATGACTTCCATGCCATTTTCCCAGCAGGCATTAAACAAATCACATTCACTGACTCATTTCACGAGAATATGTGGCACGTAGGGAATTACTGACGTTTACCTTTACAGTTTTGAAAAGCTTAACATGTGTAACAAACTCGTGAAACTATTATCTAAATATTTTAATCCGCCATTACGTCATACACGTATGTGTAACTTACGTGTTCAAAGTTAATTTGGAGTCCTCTCAATCCGAATTTATCAGAAGTGTTAAATATCCATAACCTGTATTGTAATCGGAATGAATATCAATACCCGTGTAATCAACTGTTTCTGTACCCAGTGATGACATGTCATTAGCATCATAGCGCAGATAAACCTTGGTATGTTTTCTTTACAACCACCAGGCGATCATTCCAAATCCTCAACACAAACACTGTCTGAAATACATAATAGAAAATATACCATTGCATGTATTGATGTATTTATAGAAAGGAATAGAGTGATAATATTCAATAAAGGGTGCGAGTGTGGGTGCGGGACTGAATGTGGTATTGGGACAGTGGGATCATGTCGTCTCTGCGCGCAATCCTGCATGTGAATGCAACTTCTCCAAAGACGCCTTAGCTACTGCAGTCAGTCTCACCACGAATCTTTTTAAGACAGGGGCAGTCAATAGTGCAGCCTTCTGCATATGGCAAGTTGACAGAAGGACTGTTGTACCATTTGTAAAGGCGGGCAAGCTTCTGATCTACACAGAGAGGTGCCAAACTAAAGTCACTGAGGATAATCGGAAGTCGCTTGACTGTAAAATGCTGACGCAAGCCCCCTGTCCCTGTGCATACAGTAATCAAACACGTCATATTTCGGATTACATTTTCTCAGAAACGTACAAATCATAGTACCCTTCTGGTGTTGAGTCCCATTTAGGATTCGAACCAACATTCTCAGTCTCGAATGGGTCTGACTTTATGTATATTCAAACAGAACACATTTGACGGATGATGCTTACCTATGAAGCTTTACCGACCTACAAAAATACATGTCTCACCATGGTGGCTTGAAATCTTAGCTATGTCAGGAAGAGACCATTTTAACCTTCAATGGCCAGTAGATCTTGAGTCTAAATGTGAATTCAAATGAGCATCAGATAATGTCGTGAACGGATAACACTTTAAGCTGTCAGTAAATATATTTTATATTGAATAGTAATACTAAACGTTCTACAAAACATTTACAGGTTAAAACAAATGCAGCAAAGAGAGGTTGGGTCGTCCTGGTACAGTTAGGGTGGTTAGGGTTCATCATAATCTCAGGTGGTCTTGCCCCCTCTACACGCAGCCCATCAGCAAATGAGAATTCTGCCAGGTTGTGCTGCCTAGTCTAACCCATCAAAAACCTTCCAGAGAATATGGAGACTCCCTAACACAGCACACTTTTGCATTATCAAGAGCGTCCAAAGAGCTGCGCTCCCGGCGGAGAACCTGGGCACACTCTTAATCTGCGCCAACAAATGGAAGTCCCACAACATGGAACTTGGGATGCAAGTGAGATAGTTTAAATAGGCGTCCGCATGTTTGCCATGTTCTTTCCTGTATCATGATAATCACATTGCTCTCCGAAGGGACAGAATTGTTATTGATATGAATAATTTCAAAACGGACAAGTCCAGGATTGGTATAGGTGTTTGTATATGGGCCCACTCCAATGAATTTTGTAAGTGCCATTTTCAATGACGCCTTGTACATTTTCTGGGTCGCACCTTTGATGGACCTCGGAGTCCAAACCACAAGCCTGTATTAAAAGGACCGAGCAGTGCCATCATGTTGATTAAGATATGGACTGTGCCAACGATGGACACCCACTGACAAGGTGTTGGACAGTCACATTTAATTGATTACATAATCTATATTTCATATTTATATTTGACGTAAAACCACAAATTGACGGTTATGAGTGGGAACTGACTGGTCCTGAGCAGCAAGGACTGCACAATGGTGACCGTAACTACCAGGCAACACGCTATGTGTTTACTATAGGATAATCCGAGAACGGCTGGTTAGAATATTTTCTCATCACTTTCATCGATGCTAAAGCCTCACCTGGCGAACGTTTATCGTAACGGTTACTTTTAGAGAATCAGTCTCGAGACATGAAAGTCGTCGTGACATGACCCCTATATTTAGTACTGTAATCGACTGAAGCCATGCAGTCCCCATATTCAACATTGTACTTAAATAAAGATAGTCTGTCACAATATACAACACTGCATGCGACTGAAGCACGGCAGACCCTACATTCAGTAATGTATTCCAAGTGAAGCTTCTAGACAACCCTACAATTACTATTACTGTCGGTAGTAACGACAAGTTGCATATCGACGCGATTGTTGTGCAGCAAAGTAGGTTATAGGCAAGAGGGGTGATTTCTTAGGACTGTCTGTCGCTCACTTGTCCTTCCCAAGAATTGTGCGTTGGGCCCAACATTTAACATGGATAAAATATTCACGATCTTTTTATAGCATTTTGTTTTGATCGATGTTCCACAAAATATCTCTGTGAAAATAACATACACGGTTGTTTATCAAAAGCTATAGTTTCGGGGATTAATCTTTTGTTAAAATAATGACAAATTACAAATTAATATAAAATCAAGAATATTTCTGAATTATGATCAAGACAGATCCTTCAGCTTCGTAACCATTCTGACGCAGTTACTAAGAGGGGTTTTGAAGAAATTGACTTTAACATCAGTTTCCAAAGAACATTATTTAATGTGAAAAACGAAACCATAGAACGTCTATTTTCAACAGTCATATATATGTTATATCCATGCTAATCTCATCTTATTTTAGTTAATATTTGCAATGAGAGGACACGATTGGAGTAAATTTGAAACTTCCTTTCAATAAAGGAAAGAGGATATCTCATAGGGAATAATCACAAGTAAATCAGTAAAGCATTGATACATATAATGTAACTATATCTATAAACTTATTAAGATCTAGCTACGCCCCACGCGTACACAAAAAAATAAACAAAACTGAATAGCAAGCAAGGTTTACTTATGTCCGTGAAAACAGCATTTTGTTAAGTTTCAGATATGGTGATAACCAACATCTGTCTGCACAGAGAACGAACGTACATGTAGACAATAATGAATCATAACCAGGATTTTTCCTATGCTGAAATATGCGAAAACATAACATTTTGTCTTTTTGAGATGCTAATACACAACATTTATTGTACAGTGAACAAATCTACGCCACTCTCGGACATAGCACAGGAACAGGAACAAACTTTTCAAATATGATCAGTTGAAAGACTCCTGTGCTGGTAAATGCCAAATGTTGGTAAAAATTGTATTAGCTTTGATGTTCTTAAACTGTATCCTCTGTTATCTTATAGTAAACTATACGCTGTGCTGAAGTTAAGGTGAATAGAGAGGCAGACATTCTGAAACCCTTGCATTTCATAAAAATGAACAAACTATAAAAAGGTAGAAATCTGTTTTATATGGTCATAAAATGGGCCAAATTGCGAAACTGGT